TCTTAACAATTTGAAGTGCAGCATTTTCCTTGGGGAACAGGGAGAAATTCTTTCAGAGCCTTCTTTTATAACTAGAATTTCAGTTTGTCTGATTCATGATAATGATTATCAAATGTCACACCAAATTGCCACATAACAGTTTTTGAGTTTTTCCCTTTAAAAATATGGTCATGTAAGATACATGTTTGATTCATAGTCTAAACTGTTGTCCTTCAGAACCAAAAGAAACTTCAAAATTAACATTTTTCTTTCAATGTTAAAAATCAGATCTTTTCCCAGATTCTTCCAAAATAATTTCTATTGCTTTCTGAATAATCATATTAACTGACACAACTTCTAGAACTGAATCAGTTTCTAAAGTAATCTTTATCTTAAGTGAGTTTTTTTTACAAAGCAAAACCACTCACTTAGGGAACAATTAAAATTGTAAAAAAATAGAAAAGTTCATTAGTTTCTCGACCTCATCTGTTTATACTAGAGTAATTTGGTTTTTATTATCAGGGCAACCATAACTGAATAATAAGAATTAATGTTTGCTGACTACTGTCCATGATATTCTAATATTAACTCATTCTGTCCTGACAATAACCAACAGGTCTAGTCATTATTTCTATTTTGCATATCAGGAGGCTTAGACAAAGAGAAGCTAAAGAATTTTCCAAATGATAGAATTAGGATTCAGATCTATCCTGGGTTCTACTTAGATACACCAAATATTAAAAAAATTTTCTTAAATTGATATTTTTTAGGTTTCCCATAAGTGTAATTTAAACATTTAATAATGGCAATAGAGTAATACCATTTTAGATACTGTGGGTTTTTTTCCCCAAAGGAGGCAGCTGTGGGCTATGATACAGTGATCACCATGATCCCAGAGCCAAAGTCTTTGACTCCAGTTGAGTAGATCAAAATAAATTCATTCCATTTTCCCAAATAAATGGAAAAGGGATCTTTAAGAAAAGATTTCCATGTAACACTATTGCTGAGAGAATAACTATCTAAAATCCCATTAGAAGTATATGGTAATTCTTCCCATCACCCTTATAAATTCTCAACTCCAGCTTGCCTTATACTATGACAATCTAAATATCCATGATCAAAATATGCAACAATTATTGGCACTTCACATAAACTCTTAGTCCTGTAGATTCTCCAAAGAGCATGTAACTCATTCCAACAGGATTTTTCCCTTCAAGAACTTTTGCGTGGCACTACTGAGCCAAAGAGAACCACTGTAGTGATGCAACTTAACATCTGAGAGAAACCTAAGAGTTCTCTTAGCCCAGCATCTTTATTTACAGGTAAGGAAACTGACCTCAGAGAAAGGAACACATATACTCAGCAGCAGAACTGGGCCCAGACTCCCTCATCCTCTTGCCACATACAGTTACACTGAGTGAGACCTTCATCTCCAACCATAGGTATTTCTTAGTTTATTCAAAAGTGAAATAAAAAAACTACTCCATTATTTCACATAAAGATTTTATACATTTTTTGGTGAATTCTAATTTTTCTATTTATAATTTATAACTACTTTTAATAAATGGCCTACTGGTTTAAAAATTCTCAAAGACATTATATTATATAAAGATTTTCACTGGAATTGGATGACAGTATAGAAATTGTGTTAATTTTACAATTAATTGTATAGTGAATGTAACTTGAAATGAGCTTAGTCTACTTCTGGGAATTCAATATTTGTTTTGTTTTTGCTTGGAGGCAATAAGCAGCTGTGCTTAGGGGTTACTCCTAACTCTGTGCTCAGGGATCGCTCCTAGCTGGCTCAGGAAAATATATGTAATGCTGAGAATCAAACCTGGTTGGCCACCAGCAAGGAAAAACAGTTTACCTATTATATTATCTCCCTATACCCTCTAGAAATTAAATATTTGGTAATGTGGTAATGATATTGAAGGAATATTTACTCTGTGCCAAAATCTGGGAGTAACAGAGTAACCAAAAAGTATATAATTAGTTTATTTTAAATTGTTTTCGTACTTGACCCTATCAATACAAAATGATACATTTTTAAATTTAAATGATAAACTATATTTTAAATTTTTATTAGAGCCAAATTTTAAAATGTGTATGAAAGTTGAATAATATCTAATTATTTGGGGGGGAGATGAAGGACACAAATTTCAATATTCGTTTTTCGGAATACTGTTTTCCCAAGGCAAAAAGGCATAGTACATCAAATTTTGTCCCGCAGAAGGTGGATTAAATTAGAATTATGTGATAGCTACGGTGTCTCCAAATTTTAATTGTTCAGCAAAGTTAGTTATTTTATATAATAAGAAATATTTTGGAAAAAATGTCAAATGATATTCCCAGGCAGATGTTAAGGACTACCCTTTAAAACCCCTAAATACTAGAGGAAAGTTATATATTAAGTAGAGATCAAATTGTAACTGAGGTATCAATCTTGATAATGTTATATGATCAAATAGTCATTCAAAAGTACAATTTTGATAAACATTAAAGTTTTCAGATATTAAATTAAATCTTACATAATATAAGAACCTCAAAGTAGAACTTTGGCATCTTAGGAAAAATAGGCAATAAGCTATATAAAACATAAACACCAACAAATATTTAAAATATTAGAATATGAATAACTTAATTTATAGATAAATTTTAAAACTTGCTTCTAAAATGACCTAATATAAAAGTTTGTTCTGTTTCTTAGAAAAGCTTGACAGAATAATAAATCTTGATATTTTATTTAATAAAAAAATTATTTCGTACTTAGCATTAAACCTAAAAATCTCACCTCCACTTGTGACCTGAATTTGCCTCCCCTTCAGGAAGAGATGGAGATGGAGAACCATTTCAACAATGATTTTCTGAGCATTTCATGCTAATAATATGAAAATGTACTTTCACCAAAACCATATCAATGGTTTGATTTTTTTTTTCCAGCTTTTTGGGACACACCGTCAATGCTCAGGGCTATCTCCTGGCTCTGCATTCAGGAATTCCTCCTGGTGGTGCTCAGGGGACCATATGGGATGCTGGGAATCGAACTCGGGTTGGCTACATACAAGGCAAACACCCTACTCACTGTGCTATCGCTCCAGCCCCCAGTGGTTTGAATTTTTGTTCTAAAAAAGGGACTTCTAGAAACAATATTAGTTCCCTCAAAATATAAAAGCTTTTAAAAACTGATCATCAAAGTTCTAGGTTTTTTCTTTTAGTATGTACCCATGACAAAAATGCTCAAGTGAAAGCAACATTCAGACAATGCCTGTATCTATTACCATAGTGCTACCAAATATTTATTTATTTAATAACACATAAAAGGTACTTATTTATTCATAAATTTTAACAAATGTAGCAATATTAAGATTTTATTTTTTATATATATGTGTATGTGAGGTGTATATACAGGCACACAGAGAGAGCAACCAGTTGATCAGCTTTCTTTTCTTCGTGTTTTTTGGACCATACCCAGAAGTGCTCAGGGATTTCTCCTGGCTTGTTGGTCAGGGATCACTCCTGGCAAGGCTCAAGAATCAAACCACGTTTGACTGCATGCAAGATAAGAGCCTTCCTCACTGTGCCATTGCCCCAGCTTTTTTTTTTTATCAGATCAGCTTTTCTACCAACCAAATTTACAATGAAATTTTATGTCTATTAAGAATGTTATTTCCTGTTTGATTGCAGAAATAATCTGATAATACTTACTTACTGTAGCCTAATCATTTGATAGCAATTATTCAATTATTAGATATTTTCCTTCCGAAATGCTTTACCATTCCTCAAAGATATCCAATCTCATTAGAAAAACTAGAGATAGACCTGCAGAGTTAAAACTAGCAATATTAAAAGCCATGCCCATCCATACGTCAGTGAGAAATCAGGGACACAGGCAGCAACATGCTACAAGAATTTATGGAATTCTGACTTATTTGTTTTTTTGGCAGGGGCATCACACCCAGTGATGGTCAGAATCTACTCCTGGCTCTGTGCTCAATAACTATCCCTGGTGATACTCCAGGGAACATATGGGATGCTGGGGATGGAATCCAAGTCTCTTACATGCAAGACAAACTTCCTACCCACTATACTTTCCTTCCAGACCACGCTACAAGAATTTAGAGGCAAGAACTCTTTTGGTGGACTTGGATGGTCCCAGTATGATTCAAAAGGTGTGATTTTGAACTTACCTCCATAGATAGTAAACTTTGGCATAGTAATACAGCTCAATACACCTTATCAGTATGAGTTTGAAGCTGCAGTTCCTAAGCCTAGTTGTTCTGCTTTTGAATATAGATGCATACTCATAAATCCAAGGAAGATCTGACATAAGTTCTCAAGTTAGAGCTGCTTTATTTATTTCTAGACTTGAACCAGTATCTCTAGAAGCATTGTGAAGTTAAACCCTATGAAAACATAAGCACAGCTACACATTCAGACCTTACATTACAATCCTTAGATAAGGAAGCATCTTGATCTGCCCTCCTGAAACCAAAACCACCTTGAAATCCTTCTCTTTCTTCCTCTGAGAAATTGCATAAATAAAAAAAGGAAATAAATCTCCTTCTTTTCAGAGATAATGGCTCACACTTAAAACATAACCCAAAGACTCACAAAAGACTAATGTAACCAGTTCATATCTGTAAATATAAATTGTGGAGAATGGAATCCTCAAGTGAGAAATTATTTCCTTTGTGTTATCTTCTAGTTTCAGGCACCAGCTCTATGTAACTGAATTGCTGAAGTCCTTATTTGGTTATTTGTAAGAACACTCTACTTTATCTCAAAAGTAGTTGTAGATGACTATTAAGAAGGGCTATGTTTTTAATGTCCATTCAATGTTTTGGAAATCATCAGTTGCTTGCTCTTGTCTGGAATGGGAGTCATGTTTTGTTAAGCGCATCACAGCCAAGTTAAAGAGCAGTTTTATGGTTTGTGTTTTTGTCCATAAAATTTTCTGTTTAGATCAAATGACATTATAGCTGAAAATAACATACCCTGATTTTTCCTGATGCATGTAGATCCTCCAAAGTTTAATAGGATATTGCCGAATATTTCTTCCCTTGAGGTTCCTAACCCAAAACAAGGTAGGAGCATGTAAAGTCCCTATTGATATAAAAACCCACATGTTTAGGGGGGAAATCCCAAATATTACTTTTAATAGTAAATAAAATAATCATGGATTATTATTCTAATATTTTCTATTATGAAAATTATCTCAGGAATATTTTAGTGAAAGGTATAGAACTAGTTAGATGCAATAGAAGTTGTTAGAACTTTAGTAAATTTACAAGGAATGTCAGTTAAATCTAAGAGAAATCTAGAGTTCTGTTCCCTTCACAGCACAGAGCATAAAATTTTTTAATTGATAACAATCCTCTCACTCTTTCCTCCCCCCTATACAATTTTATTGAGACACCATGATTTACATCACTGTTGATGATAGAGTTTTATGGATACAGTGTTTCCTGTTTACGTTTCTCAAGTAATCTGGTGCATCAGTTTTAGTTAGGGTTGGAGAAAGTGCTTTATTGCAACTCCTAACGGATCTGTTTTCTTTCGTTGATGCTCCATATTGATTTACAGAAATACTGTCACCTTCCCTGCCTCCCTCCCTCTCTTCTTCAGCCTCTCTATTGTCTCCTTAATCTCCAGTCCTCCTCTCTCTGTTTCTTCCTCCCTTCATTCTTTGTCTGACTTTTGTCTTTCTCTTCCTCCTCCTCTGTTCACTCTCCCCCTCCTTTCTTATCCCGTCCACTTTCCCTTCTCATCTCCCTCTCTCTCCCATCACTGCATATTTCCTGTAGTGGGAATTTCTCCTTTTTCATCCTTTATTAACATTCATTTCTCCAAGTGTTAGAACAACCTGTTTTGTCTCTGTCCTTAAAGCGGTAATTATTTTTTGACTTCTAATGTCACAAAATAAAAAGAGAGACAGCAGTGTGATTACACAGGAAGAACTAGAACTTCTAAAAAATTGGCCAATGAAATTCATAAGATGCAGTGTAATGTGAAGTTCGCATTAACATTCTTTAGCCTATAGATATACTTAGGCATGTATAAATAGGAATTTATTTTAATATAAAATTGTATTCTCTTGCCTTCTTCCTTCTACAAGAAAAGGCACATCTTTGGCTTCCACCTTCCTTAGTTATATACAGGATGTTCCTTTTAAACTCTAATGAATACAGATGGAGGAGGAAATGAGCAAAAGGAAGAACTAGGAAATAGCTGCTAAGCAAAACAAAATATATTAACAATTTGTTGAGGAGTCAAATTGGAAGGACTGCATTCTCAGTCCTTGATCAGAGTGATGAAATTGAGACTGTCCTAGATACATATATTACTAGCAAATAGAATTATCTTAATCATCTGCTCCAAATGAATTTTTTCAAGTTTCTGCATACTTATGTGGAAGAAGAAGTACAGATCAAGCTCAGCTCTATTAGTATAATTCTAGAAGGATTCAGGGGAGGGTTAGTGGCTTTATTCCTCAGCAAGTTCACTAAGAGCATCTTTAGTGAAATGACATTCGGTATTTCCCAATGAATTTCATAGCTCAACAAATTATACAGACAGAATCTAAGACTTAACACTTCTCCACAGTAATTTTTGAGCTGAACAAGATTATGCATTGTTCAAAACCTGAAATGGACCCATTTGATTATTTTTCTATGATTTCTGTGAATGTGACAAGACTAAAAGCTTTCAGAAATATATTTAATAAATGTAGTTTGCGCTTTTTAAGAATGGATAATGAGTTAAAATAAACTTATTTGAGTAGAAGCATAGTTGAATAAAGTGCTTGCTCTTGAAATTTTAGCTAGGGGTGCACTTTCAGGCAAAGGCCACTTCTACGTAGCCTTAATTTTTCTTGTCAACATCTGCAAAGCACATCAGGCTTTATCCTGTGTTTGCTATTTTTCACAAGCCACCCTTCATGAATAATCAGAAAAGTGCCAAGTAAATTTAGAGAGAAATTTCTGTCATTAACAAACCAGTATCGAAAAACTAATAAATTCTGAGATTAAATTCTATTTTTAAAAGTTGAGAGATACATGGTGTCTACAGGTCTAGATGGTGCTGAATGGTTTACCATAGGTATTTTTTCTGTGATTCCTAAACAGTTCAGCAAAAAGGTAGTCTAACTGGTTTATTAGAAAACCTATGGTTACACAGAATGCCATGGTGACAACACAACTACTAATTTAAGTCAAGGAAAATAAAGGATGCTAAAATCATCATTTCATTGCTGGATTTTTTACTCAAATGATCAAATTTTTTATTTTGTCCTTGAAAATAAAGCTTCTAAACTTTATTATAGACAATGTTAAATGATTTTTCTGCTGAATTCAAGACTTCTTTTATAATTGAAATAAGCTCTGAGGAAAAACAGATACAAACAGTCTCTTTATATAGGGCTACTTTTCAAGTGGGTTGATTATAAATTATTAGAGTTTGAAAGTTTCACTATTGTTTCTAATGTGCTGTTCATTCTTTTAAACCTATCCAGTTGCTCCCAAATTAGCTTTGTCAACAGTTTCTTCTGTTCAAGTTGCAAACCACAAGAGAGGTAGGAATTCTTGGATTCATACAGTGATTTCATGGTGTTATGTGTTGTGAAACATTGCACTGTATGAATCTGGAATATCTGTGAAGTGTACCCATCAGCTTACTGGTGAGGCATGTTGACTGGTACAAATCAATGCATCAAATAATATGGAGAATGTCATTTGTAAGAAAAAAAATATGCTTCCCTAGAAATTTTACTGCTGCAAATTTTAAAATGCTGCAACATTTATTTTCTGAAAAATTAATGTGTGAATAGAATTATAACAGTTTAGGTTCCTGATTAGAACATGAATGCTAGCATATCATTTTGTTACTCATTTGCACTGAAAAGAAAAAAAAAAGGAAACCCATTTATAGTGAGTTTCAAATTCTTTCCATGGCATCAGAAACTGAGGGTCTCATGACATGGTCCATTGATTTGACTTTGTTGCATATGACACATTTCAGAATTTCTACTTCCAAACATTGGGCTGAATTTTTCAATTGCCAATTAAGATCTGCATAAGTGTTGCTTATGGCCCCCAAATACCAGTTATAATTACTTTATCTAAACCGAAGTGAGCAACGTGTCATATGTGACTCACAAATGACCCACTAGAGCTGGCATCTGTCATTCACAAAATGAAAGTTTTTCAGGAAACATAAAGACAACTGTTTATAGTTTGCCATTTTCCTTTAAATTGTCCTATGTGACAGGTGTGTCTTGTCCCCCGCCCTTGACTATTAAGCACATGTCCTGTTTCTATTTCTGTTTTTTTACCCTTCGTGAAACTCTTCTTACAAATAAATAGATATATCGACAGAATCTGGATTTAGTTTGAACCAATAGTTAAAGATGACCCTACGTGTGTCCCTATTCCTTTATTGAATCTTGTCAAATAATTTTTCAGAATTTAGTTAATGTTTATCTGATCCTTCTGGTTAGAATATGGGATATGGGAAGCAATATCTAAACCATACCTTGAAGTTGCCTCACAAGGTGCTTTTACATGTATAACATTTAAGGTATTTTTTTTGTCCAGAATACAAATGTGTTTGTGATTTGGGGAACTGGGTAGGAAGAGAGAATCTCAAAACTATAACTGAGAACACAGTAAGAATACGCTTCCTTATCTATGATGTGCACACACACACAGAGAAAACAACGGAGTGAAGGCAAAAGGATGTTATCGTGGCTTTCAGAAAGTTTGCCTTTTACACATCATGTCAGGTTCACTGGATGTCTAATAGGCCTCAAGACCTAGATTTTGACACTGATCATTGAATTTTGTCTTGGGGTCACAGTATGCTAAGAAGGTAAAAACACATTTCTAGAGGCAGGAAGAAGTCTCAATGCAATATTAATTGCAACGTAGAAAAAACCCAAGTTGTCACCAAATAATGGAACAGTTTCCAAATAAGTTTGCCAGGGCAGTTGAAAGCAGGAAGGGTAAGGACTGTGAAAATGTTGCCATCTCTTCGTTCCCTTTGACTAGGTTCCTCAGGAGCATGTGACTCTTAAAATAGTGAAGGGAAAATAATTTCTATCATTCTAATTTCTTCATCACTATAGTAAAGTCTTTTTCCAAATCCTTTCTTTTAGTGACTGAAATGAAATTTCACCACTTCTGACACTGAATAAGCTTTCCTCAGGTGTAAAGAAACAGAAAAAAATTAAATGAATAACATTTTTTAAAAATACTGCCCATGCCACCTTCATGCCACTTTCTGAGGACTGAAGACTTTACATAATATTATGTTTTTCTAGATTGGGGCAATAATATAATTATAGACAATAGGGAAATATTCAGACAGAAAGAATATACCAAAGGGAAACTGAACCTTTTCCTCTTCTTGACATTCTTTTTTTTTATTGTGTTCTCCTTTCCTACAAAATTTTGTTCTGCTGTAATTTCTACCTGCTGAGGTTTTCTCAAGTCAGACTCCGTACAGTGCTTAATAATCCTTAGTAAAAATTGTGTTTTATCTGATTAGAAAACCTACTTTGAACTATTTTTTGCCCTACAACAATTTTTATTATTGTTCTTAACTATCCAGCCGCTAAGTATCATTTCACCATAACTGTTTTATATGATGTAGTAATATGTCATATGGAAGGAGAGTTTTACTTTGAGGCAACTTACGGATATCACAGCTTGGAAGTTGCAACTACATTTAGTGAGTAGACATGAGGGGGTTAAGGGATGTTCCTGACTATCACATAATATGCAGAAAATAAAAAAATAATTTGAACCAAAATGTCAAGAGTGCCAATATGAAATATCTGCACTGGACTTCTGGGCTTCATTCATTTTTTCCATAGCACTTCTCATAAATGTGTTGGCACTGTTAGCCTAACTACATCATGAAAATGTGCTTTAGAAAGCTCTATTACCTTTATCTACCAAAAAGTAATTAATTGAAATCTCTATGGGGGAAAAAAATCCCTCACACATAGAGAGATAGATACAGTCTACAATGTGTCTCGAGATTGAATAATTATATAGAATAGCCATTTTTCAATATGCGCTTCTTTTCTATCTACACTCATTTGCGTAGACACAAACTAAATTCTTGGTTAAAATAATCCCTCAGTTATGTCTTCTTGTACGACTGATTTTTCTAAGCTTTTAGATATAGCCAGACTTTCCTAGAATTTAAAAGATGGGCAAATGAGTTTTTTAAAAAATTTTGTTTCTTTGTTCTGTATCCTGAAGGAAGGTGCTTCGGGTTCACCATTGATTCATTCATTAATTCACTGGAACTTTTTTAGTGCTGAGTATCAGGTGATGTTTTGACTTCTGTGGTTACTTGTGAACAAACCAGAGACAGTTTGCATTCATATGTTTTAAATTTTATTTCTTGTATATTAGAATTCTCTTAAAAATTAAGCAGGATTAGGAAAATGTGGACTAATATTTCAAATAAAGTGGTCACAGAATTCTCTAAAAGACACAAGAAAAAAATGAGAAAAGCAGTCCACTAAGCTGTTCATATAAGGAACAGCATGGGCAAGCATGCTTTTAGAGTAACGTGGAAACATTGCACAACAAGTGAGGAAAAGAATGAGAGCAAGAGCACTGGGAAAGTCAGGGACTAGATCAGTCTGAAATGAATCAACTAGAACCCTAACCTTTATTGTAAAGGAGATAGAAATCCATTAGGATTATTAATAGAGGCATGTCATGACACAGTTTAAGTTTTGACAAAGTCACTCTAATTGAGGAAATTGTCACAAGACTTCTTAAAACCAAGAGAACAGCTATGGTCTACGTGAGGGATGATGATGCCTTTAACTGGAGGTGAGTGTGAAGTAAAGTAGTGTGGTTTGGAATGTCTTAAAAGGATATTGAAGATATACTGATGGGTTAGTATTGGGTGTGAAAAGAGTCATCAAGAACAACCCAGGAATTCTGATATGAGAAGTTTGTCGGATGGAGTTATCATTAACTAAATTTGTTCACCTGGGTTAGTAGAATGTTTTGGAAGAGTTCATTTTTGAAGGTTTTGAGTTTGAGCTTTCTATTAAACATCCAAGCAGATGTTATGAAACAGTTGAATGTATGGTCCAGGTAAGATATACTCTACCCTACAAAAGGGATTAGTCCAGGATGGAAATAACTGTTTTGAAAAGGTCAGCATAGAGATGATTTAAAAAAATCATGAGGCTGGGTGAAAAATTATTCTTCTAGGATGACCTTGAAGAGCAAAGAGATACAAAGATTAAGCTCTAAGCAAAAGAGAGGACCAGGAAATGCAATGGTGTGGGGGAGGGAAAAGAGAAAAGACCAGAGGGGCTGCCCAGAAGACTCTTTTGAGGAAGAATTGACAGATAGTTCAGAGTCTTATCAGGGGTGACAGTCTTGAAATCACATTAGGTATAAGGTGTCGGCAGGGAGAAATGGAGAGAGAGGCTTCAGTAGGTGGATCTTCCTAGGACACTGTGGCTGAAGAATGAGGGTACTGTGACAAAAGAGATTAAAAATGATCCTCCTGATGGACCACAGACTTTGGAAGAAGGGAAGGGAAGACACGGTAGTTCAGTGAATTGGAAAATCACCAAATCATCTAATTGTTAATATAATTCCTTTAGTGTCTTTATATGATAAGAGAGCTCAAGCATTAGCATTGATGATTGCTAATGGATTGTGTGACTAGGTGAAAAGACTACATATAAAAGAGTCACGATTAATTGAATACCGAAAAAATAGTACAGTAGCCTAAGAATCGTATTTGAAATGCTCTGCATTTAGAGGAATATCATGTTTTCTAAATCACTTCCACAGATTGTCTTCTAATTTTATTTTAATTCATCATAGACAGGAGACACATTTATCAAAGTTGCAGAGGAGTCAGAAGTTTAAAAATCAAGTTACTATTAGCTATTTTCTGGAAGCTAATATAAGACCTTGTACACATCCACTTATCTATCTTTAGGAATAAGTTGATAGTACTGTGAGTTCTGTTGAGTATTTTTTTCTATATAATTATTTACATTTTCATGAATTTACATATTTCATATTTAAATATCCAACAAAAATAGTACATTGATATTCAATTAAGATTTAGTAATAAAAAATGCCATCCCAAATATAGTAAGTTACAGTGTCACATTTGATGTATCTATGGAAACCCCGTGGAATAGGTATTGAAAGTGTTGTATTTCAGTATTCACATATATTTATATATTTGTATTTTACTAGTGGATAAAGCTTTGTTGTATCAAACTCAACATGTACTTCTGATTATTTGGCAGATTCTATAGAGCCTTCAACTACTACAAAAGAACTAACCATATTATTAAACATATTTACCTTATTCTCTGTAGTTTCCCAGCTTTGTGCCTTTGCATATTCTATTTGACCCAAAATTCTCATTCCTTACTTAAAAGTAAAATAACCTAACCTACTCCATATAAATTTTTCAGTGTTTAAAATTTCATTCATTTCTTTTCATTTTTCTTTGGGTCATAGAAATATCTCCTTAAATTGCACTGAGACAATTTACCACTTGTTTAACTGA